TTATGAATCGGGTGACCCCTGTGAAAGGTTTGTTCAACCCCCAAAGGGGTCGCGACCCACAGGTTGAGAACTGCTGATCTAGAAGCTTCTAGAACCTAGTAGGGAGGCCCGAGATGATGGCAGCACCTTGCTGTCTCCTTCCTTGATGTCCTTGTGACCTCCCAGGCCCTCCAGGGGATCTTTGTAGGCTCCCCTGAGGACCCCCTGAGCCCTACGTTCAATCCTGGGCTCACTTGCCTCCCAGCGGCCTCCCCCGACCCCACACCATCCTTGGGCAGGCCTGCTGGCTCCCAGCACCACACAGGGGCTCACACCTGCCAGCTCCCAAGGGCAGACGTTTCTTGGGACTCCTGGGGCCTAGAGGCTGGTGTCCACCTACCCGCACAAGCAGCTATTCAGGGTCCCTCCCAGCCAGGCCCACGTCCTCCTCATTCTCCTTGGAGACCGCCACCCTCCTCCGCCCAGAGCTGTTTGGCTACGTACTGGGTTCCCTAGCCTCGCCGAGCCTCGGCTTCTCTTCTGGAAAAGGACAGCAAGTTTTGTGGTCAATAGATCATGTGAGGCATCCCCCTGGGTGGCACACATGGGGAGTCCTGACTTTATTTGTTTATTTGTTGTCACCTGTCACATGAACATGCTTGGTCACTGCAACCCACCCAGAGAGGGGAGACTCAGAGGGGACCTGAGGGAGCATGTCTGCTTCTGCACACGGGGGTCCGTCACCAGGGGTCGGGGTCGACGTGCCAGCAGCCGACCACAACCGTGAGCCTCTGTGCGACAGACTACACGCTGGCCCTGCCTGCCCCACCCCGCCCCCGCCATCACACGTCCTCGTCAGTGACAGTCACTTAGCTTGTCACGTTAGTCGGCCGTCAGCTGGGGTTTCCGGAGGAACAAAACTAGTGTGACACTCCGATGGGTGTACTCTACAGAGACCCGTCTGTGTCCAAGTGGCCCAGACCGCTGTAGAAGTGTTTACGTCCAGCCTGGTTCAAGGGCATGTCTCTGACGTTAAAGCTGGCTGAGTGTCCCCCGACTCAGCGTGGCTGGGGAGACCAGAGGACAAAGCAGGAAGACCACAGCTGGGGGGAGCAGAGTCTCCAGGCCGATCCAAGGCAGGCAGCATGACAGGCCGCTGGCCTAAGCCCCAAGGAGCCAGTTGCAGGATCCAGGCCGGCCGGAAGAAGGAGAGAGAGCCCGTGCGTCACAGCCTATTCATCGATTTGAAAGAGGCCACACCCCAAGGTGACCTCAGGCTTGTGACCTGTGTCTGACTGGGGAGACCGTTGTTGACACCAGGCCCGACTGACACCTTTATCGACCTGCAAAAATCTCCCTAACACCGGACAGAAGTCCCGAGTCCCCACTCCCGAGAGCCTCAAATCACGTTACTCTAAAATTGTCCCCATTCTAGAGACTTCACCGCAGTGGCACCGCATGCTGTTTGTCAGTTTGTCACGGACTTTTGGGGACTCGGGAGGGAATGCCTTGAGGCTCCAGCACAGGCCTGGCTGGCTGAGCCTGGGAGGGGCTCTGGTCCTCCTTGTCAGGAGGAGTCCTTTCCACCCTGCAGGCCCGGCTTCACTGCCGGCCTCTCTAGGAAGAGAGCCTTTCTCTGCCCATCCCGCCAGCCAGCTTCCCTTTATTCTGGGGACTCCAAGCCCCGAGCCCTGGGAACCTTTGCTCGCTCCAGCCCCGCTCGTTCTGCCTGGGCCGTCAGTATTCGTGTTGTGTTTCTTCTCTCGGCTTCTACGTGGACGCTCCTGGAAGGAGGTGTCCAGTAGTCTTCCTGGTTCTTTCGGGCTCTTCCGTGGGCAGAGTGGACTAGAGCTCATCTACCGCTGGTCCTCCTGGGGGACCCAGGGTCAGAAGACCTCCCCCACCGTCTGTCTCTGTAGTTGCAGCATTTCTCAGGCTTCTCCGGACCGTCCTTCCTCGGCCAGTCACCGAGTTCAAGTCCAGGGACCAGAGCTCTCGTGCCTTTTCTGAACCTCACCTGATGCTCCAAGCAGCTTTGTGAGGCGAGGTTTACGGAAGCCTTGTTAAACAGCCTCAGGAGGCTCACGAGCTTCCTTAAAATGACATGGGCCGGAGGATGACATGACCGGGGCACCACGGAACGGGGACGCCAGAGACAGGGCTGGGAGAAGCTGACTCACAGCTTGGAGGAGAGTAGGAGAGCTCTCCCGTTCTCGGACACGGCGTCCGGCGGACCACTTAACCGTTAGGAAGCGGCGGGCGCGGAGGCCACGTCAGTGCCATTGGTGGAACGTGTCAAGGGGGTTGGGCCGGGGCCCCGGGAAGGGGCGATAGTTCACCTGTGGATCTGCCACTCTGAGCAGTCTCCGGGACTTGAACACGCTGCTACGTTCTTCTGGTGTGTCTAGGTGGTCCTGGCCCCTCTTGTCTTGACCTTCTGGTGGCCAAGTCCCGCAGGGGTGGCCTATGTGCCCCGTCACGTGTCCCCCTCCTCCTGGGCTTTCTTGAGGGGCTGGAGGTGCACTAGGAGGTCAGGGTGGCGAGGGGGTCGTCTTGCCCGAAGCGCTTGGCTCTTGGCCGTGGCAGGTTGCTCTCGTGATTGCCTCCTCCCCTCCACCGTGGCTCCTCACTCCTCACTCCGCTCCCGGGCTCTAGGAACCCCCTGGCTGTTTCTGCGCTGTGGGTCATTGGGCGGGGGGCCCACAGCCTCAGCTCCCCAGAGCCCGGCACCGGGGGAGACCCAGGCTCCCATGTGCACCTCTCATGTCCCACCGGCCGGAGGACTTGGCCTGATGGGCCCCTCTGGCAGGATCACAGGGGCTGACCTCTGACTTCCTGGCCCCTGGCCGAAAGGGCCCTTATGTAGCTGCTCCGGGGGCCACTGGGAGAGGAAGCCACGCTCCCTTGGCAAGCGAATGGAAGGAAGGCCTAGGCAGTGCGTTCTCTGTCTCTTCCTGTGCGGCGGTGTGCTGTCCCTCCCGCCTGGTGCCACACCCGGGGATCCTGGACACAAGCCTTCTCCGCTTGGATGCAGGTGGTTTAGCCGCCCCGAACCAATTGTTCCCTGTCCTGACTGGTCGGCTTCCTCATTTCAGGAGGGTCCCGGCAGGCCGACCCATGAACCCTCTCCCCTCTGGGCAGCCCCTGGCGCCCAGCCCGGCCCCCGCCTCGTCTCCCGCTGTGCCCACTGCCTCTGGATCACTAATTATTATTACTGGTTTGCTCAGGACTTTCCCCAGCAGCTAAATATTGAATTCTGTTATTTTTAATTATACAAGGCGCTTATTAATTGTCTTGCTGAATTAGCTCTTTGCCTACTGGGTAAGACCATTTCTCTCACGCGCAGCTTCGTCCCCGACAGCTTCCCCTGGCTCAGCACGCTCTCGAGCCCTGTCCCTCCTGCCCCTTTGCTCTGAGGAAGGGCCTCCGTCCTGTCCCAGGGGCGTCCCCTCCCCTGAGAGCAGGGTCCCCTGGGAAGCTGCCCGCTTTGGCAAGGAGGAGGAGAGCACAGGGGCATTGACCCTCACTGGGGGGCAGGGGGTTCTTCGGGGAGCCAGACAGGAAACGTGAGCCTAGAGTTTCGGAGGAGTCAGCGATGGTAGATGGTAGGGTCAGGCGGGCCTCCAGGAGAGCTTTGGGGGTGTGTGTCTGGAGGTGCCTTCCGGGTGGAGGCTCAGGGGTCTCTGGGTGTGTGGAGGAGGGAGTGGTGCTGTCACAGCCTTGGGGGGCGCCTAACTGTGAGAGGGACAACTGCCCCCAGGTAGAGACTGAGCCAGGACCCTGGGCATGGTGGCCTTGGGAAAGCCAAGTTGGTTAGCCAGGAGGAGGGGGAGTGGGAGAGGAGTATGGGGGAGGAGAAGGGGGGAGAAATGGGATGGGGGGGAGTGTAGGGAAGGGGCAGGGGTGGGAGGTGGGGGACCAGTGGAGATGGAGAAGGGGAGGACTGGGAGGAGGGAGGGGTGGGGAAGGGGGAGGCGTGGGAGTGGCCCCTGCGGCCAGCTGGCAGGGCAGTCTCCTCACACTGCCTTTCTCAAGGAAGAGAAGAAGAAGAAAGAGGGGCACAGCCCCTGCCCCTCCCTGCACCCCCATCTAGCCCCTGGATCTATCTGCCTCGCCCAACCCGTCCTCAGGAAAAGCAGACCCCCCCACACACCCCCATCCCTGGTGCTCTGCTGGGACCCCTTGCCCGTGGCCTCTCGTCATTGCCACTCACGGCCTGGGCCACTTGCTCTCAGCCTGAGCTCCCGCTGCCCCTCACCAGCCAGTGACCCCATGAACCCCACCCCAGGCTGACCTGCCAGCCACCCACCTCCTTCTCACTCCCCCTCCCCCTCCCTTGTCCCCCCTCTCACATTTCAGCTGACGGAACTTACTAATACCGGGTCTGCTTCTTAACTCCCTGCCTCCCCCTCCCCCTCTGTCGGAAAACCCCCGTTGCCCACTTGTGTGTGTCACTAACACGCTTATCACCCAGTGGGGCGAAGGGCGGGGGCAGGGCCAGGTGGGGCCAGGTATGAGTGAGGACCCCCAACTAACCTTTTCTGTCTCATTCTCGGAATGTCGCCCATCTTTAAGTCGTCTGGTTCTTTTGCCCTTACTAACCCAGGTCTACCTGTGCCCTCTGCACAGCCGCTCATCTCTGGGAGGGTCTGGGGGTGGGGTGGGGGCCACAGAGGGCTCCCTCAGAGGATGGGCCAGGGGAGAAGGGGCTTAAATTTGTGTCTGTGCCTGTGTTTCTTCCTCCCTCTCATTATAATTTAATCTTCTTTTTCCTTTCTTTTCTACTTTGGTTTTTAGCAGAGACAAGGCCGCCAAAGACTGGGGGTGGCCCTAGGGTGTGTGTGGAGGGTTGGGGGGCTGGTCGTCTGACGAGAGACGTCAGATGGACGGGCGGATGGAGCTGCATGTCTTCCTGGCGAGGCTCACAGTTGGTCATTGTGTTTCTTTTTCCTGTCCCGTTCCTTTGTTGTCCTCTCTGTTGTTTGCTTTGATTTTGGCCCCCTCCCCCCTCTCCGGTGAAGCACGCAGGGATTGGACACGCTATGGTAAACAAACTGCATTATCTGGTAGATATCACTCTAATTGTCTTACCGTTTGGTTTGCCGTGGGTTTTTTTAACTGTTCGATTCGCCCCCTTTTGGTTCCTCTTCCCCGTTTGATTTCGGTTTCTTTGGCTCCTTCCAAAAATATGGATACGTTTTTTCCGTCTTTTCTTTTCTCTCCCCTCCCTCCCCCATCTCCTGGATACTCTTCCGCGTTTCCCTCCGTCTGTTTCTTTTCTTTTCTTTTTCTTTTTGGCCCAAACTCAAATTCAAAAGACAAATGAATGGCCATCCGTCCAGGAACATGGCCCGTCCTGCCCTCAGGCAGCTGGACTCTGGCTCCGGCAGGGCAGCCCCGCTGCCACAGGCGGCCCATTGGCTTTCTTTTGTCCTTTTCCCCTTCCTTTCTGTACTGCGCCCCCCCCCCCCCAACGCCCCCATCCTCCCTTGCTTTATTTATTTATTTTCTTCCTCTCTGGTTTTCTTTCTTTCTTGGTCTCCTGAAAATCCATGGAAAACACCATCCCATGACACGCTGCGCCTCTGCTCACTGTCAGCCCCTCAGGCGCCCCGGGGGCTGGGGGGGGGCGGGGTGAGACCTCCTGTGGCAGCCAGCTGGCTAGGGTCCCGGCGGTGGGCGGTGACATTGCAGGTGGCCTCTGCAGAGATGAAGACCTGCCTCAGGACCCTGGAGACCTTGTCCATTCGAAATGGACACCAGGGTTGTTTGGTTTTTTTGGGGGGGGGGTTGCCCCACGCTGGCTGCCAGGGGAGAGGTGACACCCGCCCTCTCCTCCTCTTGAGGGCCCCTGGTTCCGTCACCCCCACATCTTGCATGGCATGAATGGTCTTCCCCACCAGGGATAGCGTCCAGTCCCCCCAAAGCGCTCCACTGCCCCACTAACACCGTGTCTCGCTGTCGTCCTCGCTCCACCCCGTGCCCACCCCCTCCCGTCCCCATGCCCCCCACCACCCGCCTGCCGCATGGCCCCCACGGAGGGGTCGCTTTCCTTCCCACGAGGGGCGTCGTCGGGGAGGCCTGGTCCCTGAGCCCACCTCCCGGCTGGCTGGCCGGCCACAGTCCCTGAGCGCCCTGTGGGTGTCTGGCGCTACAGCTGCCTTGTGTCCTTGTGTGGGTGCGACTGTGTGTAAATGTTGGCGTGACATTTAGGGGGTGTTGGTGGCAAGTTCTGTGTGTGTGTGTGAGAGAGAGAGAGAGAGAGAGCCTCTGCTGGTGACTGAGACTACATGTGTAAGCCGATCGGGGTGTACTGTGTGTGTTGGGGAGTCTGGTGAGGACTCTGCATGGGGGTGGACCATGATTTGGGGTTCCTGTTGAGTGGGTGGCAAGGGGGTGGCCCTGAGTTCTGGAAGCCCTGATGAGCGGGGGGTGGGCAAGGAGGAACTGGGAGCTGCCACTGAGGTCTGGGGGTTCTGGTGAGTGGCAGGGGCCAGGGAGGAGCCAGACGATGGCCCCAAGGTGTGGGGGCCCTGGTGAAGGGGGCAGGGGAGGGGCTG